GTAGGAAGGATTTGATTTTGAACAATTTTGTCTCGTGTGCTGTTGCGGGTATGAGGGCGGTTATCACTTCCCGGCTGCCCACACCGTGGAAGGTTGTTTCTTGACGAACCTGAAAAGGAAGATGGATTAATGTTGGTGCGTGACCGCAACTGCTTAAGGCCGGTCACGCACGGCCTTTTTATGAGAGGTATTTAGAGTATTAGCTCCGTTCTTAAAGGCCCTTAGTGGGCACCCTTACCCAGGGAGACGGAAATCCGTGAGGTAGGGGAGGTGTGACATTTTTAGGGCCGACCTTTTCTAACCCCTCCTTCCTTGTGAGAAGGCAGCATCGCTGCAGATGCTGGTTGTCCGAGGGAAACACCTTACTGCTGTCACACCCCTCTGCAGTCAGCAGTACGACTTCGCCCTCAGACCTTGGGTAGCTGCTTTTAGTCTCATCGTTCTCCAATCGACCAGCCTGGCATGGTAGGACCTGCAGGAACATGTGTTCCAGCCAGTATAGCTCGGTTGGGTCATCACGATAGGCAAGCCCGACCACCACGTCAAGGTAGCAGCTTCGGTCGGGACTTCAAGTGGTGTCCGTCAGGGATGTCCACTTTCTCCATTCTTGTTTAATTTTATCATAGACATGCTCCTAGAAATTACCTTATCCTCGTCTGAATTTTCTGGAGTAGACCTTTTACCGGGTGGCTCGCTTATTGACCGATGACATTGTCCTACTTGGTGAAGACGCTGAAAAAATGCAGTTTTCTGATTACCCTAAGCAACAATGCAAGCATGTTCGGGATGAGGTTTCCCTCCTCGAAATGCAAAATTTTGCTTCAGGACTGGGTCGCATCAGCACCTGAACTAGTGATAGGGAGTGAATTAGTCGAGCGTGTAGGCCGCTTCACTTATCTTGGGAGTCTCATCAGTGCTGATGGCCTGGTTTGTGACAAAATCTCAGCTCAGATACAGAAGGCTCGATCGGCTTTTGCCAACCTGCGTCACTTATGACGTAGGCGAGATATCCGAGTGTACTGCGCAGTAGTTCGCTCCGTCTTACTTTATGGCTGCGAAACATGGCCAGTGAGAGTAGGAGATATTCGTAGGTTGCTGGTTTTCGGTCATAGGTGTCTTCGAAGCATTGCTCGTTTATCCTGGGACACCCGAGTGAGCAACGCTGTTATTAGGAAACGTGTGCTAGGTAAGAATGGCAGATCAATAGATGAAGTGGTGAAACTTCATCAGTTGAGGTGGTTGGGACACGTGTTGCGTATGCCTAACCACCGACTGCCTCGTCGAGCTATGTTTTGTGGTGTGGGAATAGGTTGGAAGAAAGCTAGGGGCGGGTAAACCAAAACATGGCATAAATCCATGAAGTCATTGACGAGTGGACTTAGCCATGTCGGTAATTATCGACTACCTGGTTGGGGTCCGCGAGATGATAATAATCGATGGCTAGAGACCTTGAATGACATGGCTTAAAATCGTTCGCAATGGCGCCAGTGCATTAATTGTTTGTGTCCTCTCAAATCCTAATCTTCTGGGTCCTTCAACACCTCTAGCTTTTACTTTCTAAACTTATCTCATTGAATCATACTTCGTGAACAATATCTTCTAATTCTAACGTCTACGATTACTTCTAATACCTTTACTACCTCTTCTACTATTGGATTTGAATTGACAATTATATCTCTGTGCTGATGTGGTATGGCGACATGAACTGATGTACTTACGTACGAAGTTGTACGTTGCAACTGACTGACTGAATACTTTTGTTACTGCTGTCACTCCTGGATTTGAACTGACAGTTTCTTCTCTGTGCTGATGTGGTATTGCAACCTGAATTGATGTATGTACGTACGAAGTTCTGTGTTGTATATGTTTGTTTCTGTCTTCCACGCTAGTTTTTGAACCTCCTTCTATGAAAGAATAAGTGTTTTTACAAATATAGTTGCAGGAAATAACCACTGTTTTTTGAGTCATTGAGTTGAAACTACAAATTACACACCAAGACACTCTTAGTTAGTTGAATAAATGTGTATGACTTTGTGTTCACGTCACTAGCTAGTATAGTAATTATTGTTTGACCTCTTGTATCGTTTGATAGTTTGTATTAAGACTCATCTTTCACATTGTCCAAGTCCCATCCAATGACTACCTTGACGGTAACAAATCGATATTGGCATATCCTTTGGTTTCATCACCTAGATGCTTATAAATGCTCACCCAAACACACAAAAAGTGGAAAAGCAAAGATGGCCAGTCATTTGCAACGCGGTGCGTATGTACATCGTACTCCATTAGCATAGAGAAATGAAAAATTTCAGGTTTACTAATTGGCAGATGTCACTGCTGTTCCCACAGCGTTTCGGATATCACTCTACCGGCTTTTGCCAAATTAGGTTACTTATGGAGTAGGCGAGATATACCAAAGGACGAGTGTACTGCGCGGTAGTTCGCTCCGTCCTACTCTATGGTTGTGAAACGTTGCTAGTGAGAGTAGAGCATATTCGTAGGTTACTAGTGACCGATCATCTGTATCTTTGAAGCATTATTCATATATCCTGGAACTACCGGGGTATGCAATGCTAGTATTAGGAAACGAGTACTAGGTAAAGACGGCAGATCAAGTATTAAGTAAGATTAAGTATTGAGACTTCATCATTTGAGGTAGTTGGGAGATCGATTGCGAATGCCTAACCACCGAATGCCTCGACGAGCAATGCTTTGTGAGACAGTTGAAATCGATGGTTAGAGAGCTTGGATGACATGGCTCAAAGTCGTTTGCAATGGCACAGGTGCATCCAATCTTTGTCTTCTCAAAAGACAACGAAGGAGCAGCGGCGTGTTTCCCTATCTTTCTGAGTCATTAATGTCTCGTCTAGCTGAACAGAACACAAGCGGCTGTCTGCTGGAATCCAGTCTAAGAGAACTAGTTCTCTCCCTAACTTATTGTTGTCTAAACTATCAATGGCATGGCAATTAGGAGTGAGGGCTCCAGATACAGAGGATAGATAAGGCCCGATCTCAATTTTGACAACTTCAAAGTGAATGACTGTAGTAGAATCTTATATTCGCGTTTCGAAGACGCACCGTACATCGATGGCACGAGTTTTTAGAGTCCTAGTTAAGGAAGTATATTTCTTCTTGAGCGACCTAAAAAGAAAGCTGGTTTAGTTGTCGGTCTTGAGAGCGTGACCACATAGCCTGAGGAACATCTTTAAACCGGTCGCGCACGTCCTTTTTATTACACGTTTACAAAGTGCTAGCTCCACTCAAAAGGTATCATTACGGGAGACAGATGTCTGTGGGGTAAGGTGAAAAGGGACACTTTGAAGTTAACCTTTAGTAACCTCTTCCTTTGTGGGATCGCTTTAGGTGCTGGTTGTCCAAGGGAAGCATCTAACTACCTTCACACCTACAGTCAACCGTACGACTTCCCCGAGACCTCCTGTCAGTCAGCAACGGTGTAGAACGTGGTACATAAGTACATCAGTTTAAGTTGCCATAACACATTAGCATAGAGATGCAATTGTTAGCTCAAATCCCATGGTGGTAGAAATAGTAGAAGCAGTAACGATAACGGAGAACAGTAGGGTTCGAAGATATTATGCAAAAAGTATAGTGCAGTGAGATAAATTTAGAAAGAGAAAGATAGAGGTGATGACGGATTAAAAAAATTACAGTTTGAGAGAACACAACGAGTGGATACACCTGCGCCATCGCAAACGCTTTTGAGCCATGTCGTTCAAGTTCTCTAACCATCGGTTGCTTTCATCTCATGGACCCCAACCAGGTAGTCGACACCTACCAACATGACTCAGTTCACTTGTCAGGGACTTCATGGATTTGTGCTGTGTTTTGGTTTGGCCGCCCCTAGCTTTCTTCCAACCTGCTCCTACACCACAAAACATAGCTCGACGAGGCAGTCGGTGGTTAGGCATACTCAACACATGTCCCAACCACCGCAAATAATGGAGTTTCACTACTTCATTTATTGATTTGCAATTCCTACTTAGTACTTGATTCCTAACTAGAGCATTGCTTACTCGGATATACGAGTAATGCTTCAAAGACGTCTATAATCGGGTACTAATAACCCAAGAATGTCCTCTACTCTTACAGACCATGTTTCGCATCCACATAGTAAGACGGAGCAAACTGCTGCTTTGTAAACTCTTTCTTTGGTTAGCAAACGGATATCTCGTCTACGCCATAACTGACGCAGGTTTGCAAAAGCCAATCGAGCCTTCTGCGTTTGTGCTGATATTTCGTCACACACCAGGCCATCAGCACTGATGAGACCCCCAGACCTTCGGTTTCTGGCTTAAGTCTTATTTTTCTCCAGACGGCCAGCATGACCACCACGCTAAGGCAACAGTTAAGGTTAGCAAAAGCAAAGCAGTAAAAAGACAAAGATATCGTTAGTCCTTTTTGTTAAACATTTTACAGCAAACTAAATTTCAATACATTTCTGAAAAATATTATATATGGATTTGCATAATGTTTTTTGACAACAATCACAGTGTACGAGTGTGAAATAGAACGGGAAAACCTAATTAACACAGACAAAACGATGCGAATCAAGTCAATATTTATTAATCTAAAAAGTTTTATATGCTATTAAAAGTATTCAGTCAAGTATCATTCTCACACTGTCCATTCCAAGTTATATGCCGTCGAAATATTCATTTTAATCTAACAGTATGATTTCTCTTTAGAGAAGATTATTGCAATGATTGATTTCAATCAAACTACTGATCAACTGTATTTCTTGTCAGTATGAAAATCTCAAGCAATGGATTGTATAAATTTATTCAACCTCCAAAAAAAACTGGAAATTCCGCACAACTCCATTGTAGTTTTCCAATGAAAGCTTTTTCAGAATGAATTTTTCTCATGGTCCACCTCTACAATTTCATAATCACTGAATATATTTAACCCTTTGCGTTTATATGTCTAATGTGTGTTCAATTGCTTTTTCATTTTGGATTTGAAATTGCATTCATTTATAGGTGGAAACACGATTGAATGAAGAACGTGTTCGTGTTCAAACATATCTACATATAAGTACTCTTCCTAAATTAATCAGATCTTGTGAACATTATCTAATTGGTGAACATATTGATCGGTTAACATCTGTCTTCCCAGATCTATTCAACGAGGATAGAGAAGAAGGTGAGTTTTAAAAAAGTGCTTGTCGATCAGTTTATTGTGTATATGTATATATCATAAGACCGTTAACATTTTTCTTACATTTGTGTATATGCTCTTGCATGTATCCGTAAGTGTACACAAATACGATATTCGAAGGCGTTTCAATTCCTAAGATTAATAGTAAGATAAAAAATTAAACCACTATTGAAAACCTGACAGCACTGGACAGTTGTTTCCTCCAAATACGGGACTCCTTAGTGATGTTGTGTATTGACCACCTCCACACAGGAACTGAACTCACAACCTTTAGGGTTGTGGATGAGCACTGCTGAGGAGTCCCATAGTGCAACGAAACGGCCGTCCAGTGATTCCAAGATTCCAGTGTTAGTCCATACGTGATCAGTTCATGATTTCAATCTTGAAAATAATCCGATCTCCACAAATCCCCCGTATTAACTACAAATAGAGTAACAGTACATTCATTAGTACCTAGTTAGTTATTATCATCATAAGGGTTATCAGTCAGTTCGAAAATATACCGACTTAGCTAAGTAATTTGATGCCCGGTAGGTAGGTGCACTTTAATTAATGTTGAATATAGCTAAAGGCAACCAAGTGGCTCAATGACCAGAAATATTGGTGTATCTAAGTGTGACGCTTTATGATCCAGTCCTGGATCGTTATTCCGGGATCCTTCGCCTCTTCTGGACTTTGACCTCGTACTTGCTGGATATTCTATAGAGTACACGTTCTACTTCATATCGTCTTCTTCTTCTACTCAATGGGGGGTTTGGGACACTCGTATTAGAGTAGCCTGTCGTGTCGCCGGACCATTGAACCTCGCTCTCTTGTACTGACTAAGGTAAACTGGTGATAGTTCAAGCATATCAAATGACGTGGTCACGCGTACGCTGGTTATCCTTTTGAGATTCGTATTTATCTTGTCATATTAGGTAGAGACTTTACTCTGTTGAGTTATACAATACAAATAAGGTTTTTTTTCGAAAACCGAAAATTATCTATTTTAAAAGCATTTAGGTTATACGACCTTTCTAGTTTCAATTTTTAAAATACATACAGTTTTGTCTATAAGTGTACTTTTCGGTATATACAGCTTTGGATTAAATCTAGTGATCATGTTTTTTAGTTATGTTTCGGAAAAAAGATTCTGTCTAACAGAGTTACTCAGTAGTTATTTGAAAGTTTATTTATTGTCTTTGATGATAAGGAACTATATAGTTTTATTAGTATATGGAATTTCGATCATTACAGTTATTACAGTTTCAGAAATCACCGCATTATTGACCTGAAATATCTTCATTTTTTGCTTGTGTCTTTTCTTTTTTCTCAACATTCTCTTAATCCATCTTACACTTTTACAAAAATCTACTAATTAGATATATGGCGAATGTATCGATTAGTTGGTCATTTTCCTAGTGGAATACGTGTTCTTGTCTCTGTTATGGAAGATCATGTTGCTGAAAAAGGTTGGGAAGCTATTCGTCAAGTAGCTGAAGCTGCTTTAAATGTGAGCTGATTTGTTATTTTGACTTACTGAACATATATATGTATATATATATATATATTTTTTAAAATAACAGTTAGTAAAAACATTTATTTTAGATTTTTATGATTGCAAACGACACTCTATGCATGCATCATCAGTGAAACAAATTTAATTCTGTTTTAAATGCTATTGGAAGAAAAAACAAGTCTTCATTTTGTCAGTTATTTTTAATGATCAACCATTATCGTGTGAAAAATGAGATAAGTTCGTCACTTAGTATGCTTCAGGCTATTACGAGTTTACCTTAGTCGACAAACGCGAACGAGACTTTTACCAGCGTCCAGGTAGGCTACCTTGAATACCCAAAGTCGAAATAAAAGGCTTTGTAGGCGTAGAAAGTATATTCTACAAACACCCAGCAATCACAGTACAATCAAGCATACAACTCTCGTTGATTTATACAACATAGGAACGTCCTTGAGACAGTTAAGAAAATAGCATACTAAAATACACAGCAGCCAATCACAGCCATGGATTTTCCTGGTGGGAATTGAAATCTCAGGGTCAACTGATCAGCCCATGCTGGCAAAACGTGAAAACCAATTACGGCATTATCAAGCGAATTTTGGGGATGTAACATCCCCAACACTCCTCCCCTTTTGATAGCGTGTTATCCTGTGGTTGACTTGCATCTTGACTATTGTTCGCCGCTGTCTGAGGGGATACATTCGGGAACGGAGAACAGCTTGCTGCTGAGTTTCTTCTCGTGGCGGGGCTCTCGGTAGGTTGAAGGTATCAAGCAAGATGTCAAGGGGAAGGCTTTCTGCTCTTGATGGGTGATCTTGGGCTAGCCGTCTGCGTATCTGATTCCAATGACGTGACCATTTATCACCTCCTACCTCTACTTCGTACATAACTCGACCAACCCTTCTGACCACTCTCGCTTCTGCCCAAGGACTATGGTTCGTTCTGTAGTTGCGGGCAAACACAGGGCATCCTACTTCGTAAGCGGATTGTCTTTGCTGCTTTGTCTCTACTGATGAGGGTGCATTAGTCGGATGGATCGTTTTCAATCTTCTTCCCATCAGGATTGCAGCTGGAGACTTTTGCTCCGGTAACAATTCATTTGGTGTTGTCCGATAGACGTACAAGAAATTTTGTAACGCTTCGGCTGGCGTCCCCTCCCCTTTTGACTTAAGCAGTGCTCTTTTAAACGTATCCACAAACCTTTCCGCCTGCCCATTCGATTGCGGGCGGTATGGTGGCGAGCGTAAGTGTTTAATGGCTAGCCGTTGACAGAAAGTCTGGAATTGGGAAGAGGTGAATTGAGAGCCATTGTCGGATACGATCACATCTGGTATGCCATTTCGTGAGAAAATTTCAGTTAGGAGCTGTATAGTCTTAGTTGTAGTGGGCGGCATAACGGGGCTGAATTCCGGCCATTTAGAAAAGGCGTCGACGACAATTAAATACATAGTTCCATTTATTGGGCCAGCGAAGTCGACATGTATCCTGGACCAAGGATGCTCAGGTTTGGGCCATGAAACCGGCGGAATTTTGGCATTCATCTTTGCCGCCTGCTGACACCGCATGCATTTTTCAACCAACGCTGTGACATGTTGATCCATGTGAGGCCAGTATGCATAACCCCTGGCTATGGACTTCATTCGTTTAATCCCAGGATGACCAGGATGGAACTGTCTCAGCACTTTTGCACGAAAGGATGCTGGCACCACTACTCTTTCACCAAACATCAGACAATCGTTCACGATGCATAGTGACTCCCGCCGCTGATACAGTTGCTTCATGTCACCTTCAAACCTTTTCGACGGCCAACCGTTAGTGACATACTTCATCGTCATCTTGATGATGGGGTCGTTTCTAGAAGCATTTTGTATGTCTGTTGTAGACACCGGTAATGCGCGAACTGCGGTTGTCAGATAACATTCTGCGTGGTCTTCTACTGACAGAGACGCGATCACCATGTTTTCCTCAGCCGCCACTTGATCATTAATGAGTCGTGACAAAGCGTCTGCTTGACCGAATTGTAGAGTACGTCGATATTGGATTTCGAAATTATACCCCAAAAGTACCAAGGCCCATCGCTGAAGACGATTTGCAGAATGGGCTGGAATGCCAGACTTTGAACCAAATATTGCTAACAGAGGCTTGTGATCTGTGAGGAGCGTGAATCTCCGACCGTACAGAAACTTATGGAAACGGCGGACAGCAAACACAAGGGCAAGAGCTTCTTTCTCTATCTGGCTATACTTCTTTTCTGCTGGGGTCAGTGTACGGGATGCATGCATAACGGCTTTTTCTGACGCGTCCGGAAACTGATATGAAATAACGGCACCTAGGCCATATGCTGAAGCGTCTGCTGCTACGATGATCGGCATGGATGAGTCGTAGTGTGTTAATAACAATTCCGAGCTAATTATGGACTTCAGTTTACCAAAAGCCGCGTCACACTCTTTAGTCCAGTTCCATGTGCTATGCTTCTGCAGTAGACAATTCAATGGAGCGCGAAATCATGCATCGAAGGAACAAAAGCTGAATAATAACTGATTAAACCGAGAAAAGATCGTAATTCTGAAACATTAGTGGGAGTAGGCATCAGTTTGATAGCTCGGATGTTCTCAGGATCCGGTCTGCGACCGTCGGCATCAAAGATGAATCCCAAATACAATCAAGCATACAACTCTCGTTGATTTATACAACATAGGAACGTCCTTGAGACAGTTAAGAAAATAGCATACTAAAATACACAGCAGCCAATCACAGCCATGGATTTTCCTGGTGGGAATTGAAATCTCAGGGTCAACTGATCAGCCCATGCTGGCAAAACGTGAAAACCAATTACGGCATTATCAAG